TTTTTATATACGTTGGACCAATGTCAATTTGCTAGCTTTTCTTATTCACATCGCTATTCAGGTTTTCAATTATATATATATATTAGTTAAAACGCCGACGTTCGTGATGTACTTACATACGTTGGCCCAACGTAAGCTAGTTAGGAAGGAATTCCGTATAGCTGTAGGAATAGAAACAAACAAAAGAATTGAAGACGCCTTCATAAAATCATCATCATTTACAACGCAAGAAAAATTTTTGGCTCATTAAGTACAAATCAACTTAGGAAACACTAAATCTTTGAATATTTTTAATTTAATTCAATTTGTTTTACAATTTTGACACAAAATCATATTATGATTACTTGTTTAAGTAACCGCAATATGATTGAAATCCTTGAAAACTGAAAGAGGATAAAAAAATGTGGTATCTGGTTTCAATATTAAACTGACTGTGAAAAACAAGCTGATGGGAAAACATTTAATGGTGTAAAGCCCCAATCTTACAAGGAGTAAATGAAATTAACAAGTTAAATAATCTCGTGCCAACAACTTATATAGATAACTAGATTGCAATTTGTTTCATTCATTCTTTTTCCTCTTTTTAAAGTTACTCAAATCACTCTTATTTAAAAAAATATTTAACTTTTATTTTTATTTTTTTAAATCCCCAAATAAAATAATCAAGTATTATAGATATTTATTTAAAGATTTCAACGACTCAAGTGTTAATTATTAAACTGGTCAATTTGACTTCATTGAACAAAACATATTCAGCAGATAATTTTGGATATTATTAACCATTTTTTCTTTAGAGTACACATGGTTTGGCTTCAAACGGTCGGAAAACAAATTGCAAAATAAAAACCTTGTCCGCTTTTTCATGAACACATCTTTTAACTTTCAAAAAGGTAATTATTTCTTTGTAGATTTTTTATTTAGACTGGACAACTAATAAACATTAAATGGTGCACACTTAAAAAATCCAAAAGGTATACAAATGCAGGTCTATCCCCTCCATAATAAGGGATAAAAGTAGAAAAATAATAGAATTTGTAAATATTCCTGGTCTAAACATATTGTTATGTGTTGCAGACAAAGTTTTAAAAGAAAATGAAATTTTATTTTTGAAAACAATGAATGTAGATCACTGTTTTTCAACCAATATCTGTCCATAAAAACATCTGCAGAGTACTTTAAAAGAGGGTTTAGGTCAAATACGTTTTTTTATTTAGTAGTTTTGAACTTATTTGACATATTTGTATTTGTTCTGTATTTGATTAAATAAAATTTTAAGTATATGTATTTGATTTGAATGTATTTTCAATTTCATATTCTAAGTTGACCAGTCTTTTTTTAAGAAAAACCAAGAAATTTAAAAAAAATATAAATTTCAATTTACATTTTCAGCTGCAACAACTTTGAAAATTGTCCATGCCTGGAGTTGTTTAAAATAACGTTCTCAACATTTCTAAAGCGTTTGATAAAACTAGGTATCTGGTTTTCTCCAAAAGTTTTCTTCTTTCAGTTTATCAGGTAACATTTTTAAGATTAATGAATCCTTTCTGATCAATCATACTATAAAATATATCCTTGAAGGAAATACACTTTTTTATTTCCTATAATTTTAGGTGTTACGCATGTTCTCTCCTTAGCCCTATACTTTTTTTATTTATATTAAAAAACTCTCATAAATTTTCACATATAAGGTGGCATTGTCTCGATAAGAAACACTCTGTATGCTTGTAGGGGGCGTTTTAGCCTGAAAAAATTGCACTTCTGCTATAGCATCGGGCTATCAGTGGCTGTTGAACTGTAACTCAGATAAAACTAAATTTGTTTTAGGTAATTATTATTTCAAAAATCTAAACCTTCATATATTTATAAACAGTAATATATGCGATAAGTCATATATTCTTTGTCTTCTAGGATTAGGTCTTACATCAGATCTTTTTTGGAGACTATAAATAAAATCGATTGCAAATTTTACACCTGCCAAGGTTGCATCCCTATAACGTACTCGCCGCTTTTTTACTCCGGATTCTATTCTTCATCACTATAAACCTGAAATCCGTTCTTGTATGGATCACTGTTGCCATAACTGGATCAGATCCTCAAATGATGTTCTTTTTCTTTTAGACTAGGTACAAAACCGCATTGTAAACATAGTTTTGTTTGTTCTTGAAACCAACCTCCAACCGTTATCATTATATTGGGGTAATGTTGCTTCCCTTTATTATTTCTATATATAATTTAATGGGCACTGCTCTAAAGAGCTAGCGTCTATTGAGCCATTTACTAAAACTTATTCTCGTGTTACTCGTCATTTAAAATAGTCTCATACTTTTACTGCGTTTGTTCCTAAGTGCTCCAAAAATTCTTATTTGTCTCATTTTTTACATTTTGAAAAATGCTAAGTCTATTTCAACTACGATATTGTAAAAGTTAGATAGTTATGGTATAAATATTCAAAATTAAAGAGAAAAGGAATACGATTATGTTGCTGTGATACGTGATCACCAACTGGTGTTCAGATGCGCATTATGGAAATCAACAGCAAAACAGTTAAATTGCGTGTACAAACCATTCACTGAATTTAGCTAGTGTGAATGCTGATGTGTGAACTGTTACATTTTTTCGATTTATAATACAGTTATTCACACTTTTCTCTACATTAACACAACATCGTGATGTTTTTACTTTTTTATTGGTCAGAGTGTCAAGAGAGTTATAAAACACAATGAAGTACAATGGGCGGTGCAGTTAGTATTGTTACAAAAATATCAATTTTTGTTCTATTTAGCATTGTAGGAGTCAATCCATTGGAAAATAAATGATATACAGGCCTATTTTCAAACAAAAGGGTTGAACTACAACATTGTGAATTAAATTAGACGCTTTAAAGTTATTTTCAATTGAAAACAGAGATCAATTCATGAAGATATTAGTTATTTTTGAAAAAAATGAAAAATTATAAATTGGATTAATAAAAAAATGAGCTGAAAAAGAAAATGTTTTTTTTATTTTACAGAGTGATTTATTAAACTGTAAAATGGTTTAAACAACTTAATGCTTTCTCTGGAAATGAGATATTTTTACTCCATCAAATACTTCAAAACGTAAATACAACTTATGAAATATGACTATGATAACATTGACTTTAATTGACTTTGAAAACCTCATTGCGTTTTATGTTAACAGAAATGTAAGAAAAAATG